TTGTTAAGCTTAGATTCAAATCAGTGGTAAGTAAGTGACAGCAATGTGTTTTGAAACTGGCCTTACTTGCATGTACTGATAAAATTTCAGAACTGACAAATGCAGTAAGTCCCTTGTTACATGTAGTTCAATTGTATTATTCATGTCACACAAAGTTTCAGATTGTAATTTTTTATAAACTAAAATTGGAACAGTGTGTTTCTATTTATATAGTAGCTATAAAATTGCCTTGGAAGAAGAAAGGCCTTTCTGGAAGTTAACTGAAATAAGAAATTGACTTTGTAGAACATTTGCATGCCTATTTAAAAAAACGGAAAAAAATGGTTTCTTTTAGGACTCTCTCATTCCTGGGGATGAGTTTATGTCTTGCCTTGATGTTCATTTGCTCTTGGTACTATGCTTTGATTGCCATGGTAATCGCAGGATGTATATACAAATACATAGAATATAGAGGGTAAGACCATATATCTTATTTATTTTATATTTAATATCTTTAACATTCAGCAAAAAGCACTTTTATATAACATAGATGCAACTGAAGTAGTAGAATTAAGAGTATTCCTTGAAACAAGGTAAGATCCCGACTCTCTTAAGCATCATAAGTTTTCAGATTCTAATTTCTCTGGAAGCTCTGTTCCAAACTTCTCAACAGCCAGAGCTAATCAAAATAACAACCAGTGAGGCTGGGAATTTTTCATTTGAGTAGAGATTACGGTGTAAAGTTTTGGTACTTCAGGAACATTACCTTTTACTATCAAGCAGCAACTATTACAAAACTGTTACCTTACTATTAACTTTGGGCTAAAGCCCTAAAACTCACAGTCTTGTATGGGCTTAGCACTTTTTAGAATGAATCATACTGAACAATCCAGAGCACCCACTGAAAGTTATCTGTTTTCTAAAGGCTTAGATAATCTTTAAATTGTAACCTACTTTGCGCTGTATTCATTTGACAAGGGATGCATACAGAGCCACACCTGTAAGAAATGCTGTGCAAGTAAGAGGCTTAAAGAGCATGCTGAGTTCATTAAACAAACAAAACCACACAAACCCCAGCTAAACACCATATCATAAAACCAGAGGTGACTATCATCAGTAATGTGTGTGCTTTCCCTTTCTAAGGTAAGGTACCCAATGCCTATTCTAGTGAAGAAAAATAGTAAGATCTTGGAGCAGGAAATTGAAGCGAGGACAGTTGTTTTGATGAGTGATTAAGCACAGGTCTCAAGTGGATCCATCTTATGGGTTCTCCATCTTTTAATACCTCCATTTCCAGATTAGGTGCTTTCCAGGATTGTACCAGCTCCACTTACTGGGTTAATTATAAGGAAATTAATTTGCTTATTTTAGCCAGGATGTCCGATCAGATGATAACAGTTCTGCTTGTGTGCGTAGATGTAGATATGCACATATATAAAATTATGTGTACATCCCTATTAATATACAGACTCTACAAATGATGGCATATAGCCAGCACATCTACTTTGTAAAAAGAGATTCTTTTTTGCAGAAACTTAACTTCTTTTCTCCCTGCTTTTACAAATGCAGGGGCTGATTTGGCAGTGGGGAGAAACTCACCCTGAAATGTTTTAAAAACTGCTGTCTGGAGAAAACCTGAGTATTTATTTTAATTTTTCAATAACTAAGTAAAAGAAAATTAAATGATTGTGCTGTCTGTCAGGGTACGTTTTAATTGGCACATTGTTCCTTAATCGCTTTTGAATTCATTTTTGGCTAATTTCATCTAAATTTCGAAAGCAGGCTAGAGGTAACAAAGTTCAGTGAGAATTCATGAATGGAAATAAGAGGGAGAAAGGGCAAGGGAGATGGACCGCTTGCCATAGTATGGCAACCTGGCATGTAGTATAGCTTTGTATTGGGAGAAAGAGGAGTGGAAAATGTAGGGAGATTGATGGTTGTCAGGAGGGCAGATGAAGCTTTAGGCTCATCTGGGGGAGGAGCTGGGAAGGAAAGGAAGTGGAGAAAGCTGTAGTGGTGGTGTTGGGGGGACAATACAGCACATTAATCCATACAATGTCAACTTTCACTTATTCATTCTGCTGCTTTAAAACAATTCCTTTTAAGTAGCCCTCATTTACTCATTCTAGTGCTTAAAAGCAACTTAAGTAGCTCTCATAATTACAAAAAAGCTTTTGAACTATGAATAAAACAGTCCATAAAAAGTATTATTAAATACTTAATAAATAGTTCTTTTGAAGGGACCTGAGACTGATTCATCTTGGTTAGTCATCATTCTTGATTTAAATCTGCGAGATGAGTGGGTTTTTTCATGCATTCATGCAAAAAAGTGTTCATTTTTTATGCCCATTATCCCTCACATGAGAAAATATACTTAATTTGTATAAATAAACTGGACCCTGTTAATTTAATCTCTTCTACACCCTGAAGAGCGGAAAAAGAATGGGGTGATGGAATCCGAGGTCTGTCTCTGAATGCAGCTCGCTATGCTTTGCTTCGTGTGGAAGATGGGCCTCCTCACACCAAGAACTGGAGGTAAGTCAAATCCTACACTTCCAAGGTCACGTAATTCTTGAAATATGTAAATCTATTGGGAAAACTGCTGGTAAAGCTAATGGCCAAAGTGAAATTCACCATTAAAATAATCTTCTGAGTATGGCAATGATGTCATTGCAATAGTATTATTTTACTGCAATAGTATTATTTTACTGCAATAGTACATGACTTACAGTCAACACGTAATCAGCTTTGCTGGGAATATGGGCAAACTAACTCGAACTTAAATCCATGTGGTGTTGACATAGTTTTCCAAAGTGCAGAAGAATTTGAATGTTTGATTATTTATAGATTTTCCAGATTCAAAGGAACAGTTCTCAGTGAGTTCCACTGTCTCTATAAAAGAAATGCTGCAAGTCCATAAGTTTTTTTTTTTTTACTTCTGTATATGTTCCCTCTGAAATAGATTGTATAAATCTACAGATGATCCATAACTGTTTTAATTCATTTTTTGTGGCAATTTTTTTTATAGAGCTTCATGTAATAGTAACACTTTCTAAATTGCCTAGATATCATTAAAACAAAATCTCACATTTGCTGTCTAGTTGTGTCTAATGGGTTTAGATGTCCACTACTATTTTTGCAATATTTTCTTTTTACTTGGTAAACTGTCAATTTTGTCAAAGCCAACACAAAAAATACTTAGCATTTAAAAACAAAAGGACGTTTGCACATTGACACTTGTGATGAATGTAATGCAAATCAGAACTTTGATCAGTGGAACACACAAAAAAGAAATTGTCACTAAATGTGCTAGTTTAATTGTAGTCACTGCTCTGTGATAGCATCACTGGGTGCATGCACATGCAATGTCCTGTTGCCCTTCAATTTAATGGCATTATTTTACTATTTGTCATGGCACTGATGCACGTAAGCGTGGAATACATGAACCACTACCTTTTTCTGTGTCTGAACTTGGCATCTCAGAGGCTCCAGTGTAACATAGTGTTGACTGAGAGCATTCCTGTTAAATGTCTGACATTGCTTCAGTTTCAGATGAGTTACCCTTCTCTTGTGTCAGTGTAATTGCTAGAATTGGAACTTCTTGTTACGTCCTCAACTGTGCTGGTTTTGAGACAGGAAGTAGTCTCCAACTCTTTGTCGTTCTTGTGAATTTGTAGTAATAACAGGAAAATTATAAAATGTTGTTTTGGGAAAAATAAGCAGATTGGATATTGATTAAAGGAAACTGTTTAAGTATGCAGTTGAAACAGAACTTGGGTGCTGTCAGTATGGTTAAGGGTATGACGGTCCTTTTGGAAGGACCTATGCAGATAGAGGAATGGGTTGACAAAAACCTAATGAAAATCCAAAAGGACAAGTGCAAAGTCCAGTACCTAAGACAGGCTTGTCCAGTGCAATGGTACAAGGCTGGGAAGCTGCTCTGGTGAAAGGGACCTCTGGACCTTCTAGAATATTTCATCTAGAATATTGTGGACCTTCTAGAATATTTTATCCAGTTTTAGGCACCTTCATATAGGAAAGACATCACTAAGCTGGAGTGAGTTCAGCAGAGGACCACAGAGATGTCAGTTGGGGCACAGGAGCATATCTCCTGTGGGGAGAAGCTGAAGGAGCTTGGAGGACACTTGAGGGGAGCCTAAAAGCTGATATAACTAACTAGTAAACATCCAATACCTAAATGAAGGTTACTGAGAAGATTGACGTCAGACTCCCTACAGCAGGATATGGTAGGAGAATGAGAGAACGTGGTAAAATGGAGAGGGGGGAAAAAAAAAAGAGGTGATGACAATTAAGCATTGAAGAGGTTACCCAGAGGTGATAATATGTCTTTCTCTGGAGGGTTTCAAAATCCAGCTGGATGGAGCTGTAAACAATCTGATGTGCATTCAATGTTTAACCATTTCAAGCAGCAGATTGCACTAGATGACCTTAGAAGAGTGATAAGGGTAATTCAGTAAACCTATTCTTCAAGGTAGCTTTTTAGAATGATGGTATGGTGGCTCATGTAGGTATTCTGTACCTGAAGTGTTGTTGCTATTGCAAATTATGACTTCCTTGCTTGATAATTGAATGTTTTCCATTGAATTAAGCACTTAATCTGTATTTTATTAATTGTTAATATTATTTTTTCAATTCTCTTTTGCTTTTCTATATGTATATGCGTGTAACTTTTGTTTTGACAGACCTCAACTTTTGGTCTTGTTAAACTTGGATAGTGAGCAGTTGGTGAAACATCCTAGATTGCTTTCTTTCACCTCTCAGTTGAAGGCTGGTAAAGGACTGACTATTGTGGGTTCTGTGCTTCAGGGAATCTACTTGGATAAATGTACAGAAACTCAGAAAGCTGAAGAGGTATGTAAAGGACAGCTTACAAACACTTGTAACTTCCATTAGTATTTAAATGTTGAATCTGGACAACTCAGATCTTGAATTAGAACAGACTGTAGTGAAGTATTGAATAAAACATCAATTTTTACTATCAGCACAATCAATGATTCTATATAAAGAATAGGTTGGGGTGGTTGAGAGCCCTGGGCTCTCAATCAAATTAAATTATTGAAAAAGCTAAATGATAGATTTTTAACAAATTACCTTATAGAGAAAACAGATTTATTTAACAAAAAACTTAACATTTATCTAACAAATGCAGATGTGTTTAGCATAATTTCATCCTCTGGATATATACATGATATTATTTTCTATATTATCCTGGAAATACATAGCACAGGTAGGGTTAGGGATAGTCTTTGCCGAACCCCTGCTTTGATGCTTAACTGTAAACAGCATCCTTCTTGAGATCCTTTACTCTTTCTTTATTCTTTTTTTTTTCCCCCTTTCCTATTTATCCCATATGTCTAGAGGAGGTAGGATGAGGTAAGAAAAAATAGTAAGTTGTCATGTAATTTAAGATGACATCTAACTGTGCTTACAAACACAAATGAATTTAACTTGCATGTTTTTTGGTTTTTGTATTTTTTTTTCCCCTTGACAACTTGTCAGTATTTGACTGTGCTACCCGATTGAAAATACATAGACATTTTTGTGGGAAGCCCTTGAAAGTACCTGAACTTGATTTTAAATTGTCCCCTGAAGGAAAAAGGGAAGTTAATAGACTGAGCTTCTGAAGATCCATTGGTCATACAGCTTGGATTTTAAATGCAAAGCACATTTCCCTTTTGGATTGGTCTTAAACAACTTGTGTACTTCTTTTGTTTAATCCAGTATTGGGGTAACTTGGTATAAATAATTATATTTGCTTACCTATGCAAACTCTCCTACTCCTAGCTTTATAGAGTGGCGAAACGTTTTTAGAAAATACCATGTTTCATGTATTTTATTAAATACTATTGAAAAAATCTATTGCCTTTAGAAAACTACTATATAGTCTACTCCAAAAGTAGGATTTGATTGCCATTATATCTTCCAAAAAATTTTTAATATCTTCAGTGTTATTGAAAAGAGCATCAGTTGAAATGTCTACTGTTTTGATCCAAGTCATCCACAAAGCTGTGTAAAAATGCCTGTGATTTATTCAGACCTGGTTTCGCTAAAATAGATGAGCATTTGTGATGTTGAAATGAACTTAACAAAGCTAACTGTCCTTTTTTTCCCAGCTTTCTTTTTTCTCCTTCTTGGTATTCAGACTTGTTCCTAGTGGTTTTTAAAATAACAAAGTATGAATCCAGATGGCTCCAAGAGAGCAATTAGCTTGAAAACGTGGTGGAAAAAGTCCAGCAATGATACCTTGTGAAAGTAATTGTTATTAAGCTGCTATTATCGACATGTGTGAGTAGAAAACATGACCAAGAATACAATCAGGCCTCTGAAATAAAACAAAGAAAACCTTTAAACAGAAACTGTTTACCCATGACGATTTGAAATGTTACCTATAGTTGGCTTAACTTGAAGTCAACTACATTTTTGAGAGATGGAACAGGAATGAATTTAAGGGAGACCTAATCCCTGGGTTCTCTAGAAAGTCAGACGGTGTTAAGATTGAAGAAACTATTGCTTTTAAAATGGAAACAAAGATGAATTGTAAAAGTTTGAGCATCTGGAGGCCTCATTTTGGAAAATGTAAACTAGAAAATGTTTCTAAAAGATTTGTAGGAAATTAAGATTTCTCCTTTCTTTTAAAAGGAAAAAAGCATCTCTTTAAACTGATATGCCTTCGCAGATATTGTTTGCACAGACAGACTTGTTAGCTTTGCTACCAAATCCTCTGAAGACTTTTTTCTCTACTAAACAGAATTTCTGATGTGGAGCCACACTGAGCCAGTGCCAGGCATTCTGTGATCAAATCTGTTCCTGATGATTTTTGATAGGAATTTTGGTGCTTCCAAAATTCCAAATTTTGATGTGCTAGTTCTTCCTTCTGAAACCATGCTGATCTCCCACACAAGTCATTGATAATGATGAGATTTTTATAAAGTCATGCCATCAAAACATAGAAAATGCTGAAGCTGATGTTCACTAGTCAACCTTGATACCATTTGAATGAAAGGGAGCCATGTTGAAATTAAAAGGGTATGGGAGATTTCATCTGGTCAGTTTATCTTGTCATTATCAGTTATCTCCTGTACATCTATTTTTCCATGTTGGGAGCCGATAAATAAAGAATCAGTGTCTTAATGTCAAAGTTGTATGAGGAGCTTTGGCAGCCTCTTCTTCTAATGTCCTTGGCATCATGTTTTCCAAACCTTTCCAGTTCCAAAAGAAAGGACTTCTCATTTCAAATACACGGTGCTTTGTCAGTCAGCAGTTTTGACTTTACCTGAAACAGTGTTACTTTATTTATCTTTCTCAATATGGTTTTACTCATGTCTTGTTCATTCTTCTTTGGAAATAAAAGGCTGAATAATTAAAGTGATGAAAACACTGCCTTTTGAGGAGGTGTGTGTTTTGGGTTTTAGTTGTTACAGAATCATGCTCACTCTTTTGGAATTAGCAGTTTCTTGATGTTGGTTGTACACTGTAGCTAATGTTTTGCTCTCATTTAGTGCTGTTACTCCTCATGGTGTTTATTACCAGTGTTGATGACTATTTCCCCATGTGTAATCTTCCTTTTGCAGAACGTTAAGGCCTTAATGGGAGTAGAAAAGACTAAAGGGTTTTGCCAGATTGTGGTGTCTCCTAATTTCAGAGATGGAATATCCTATTTGATTCAGTCAGCTGGTCTAGGAGGGATGAAGCACAACACAGTCCTGATGGCATGGCCGCAGTCATGGAAGCAGACAGAAAATCGTTTCTCATGGAAAAATTTTGTTGGTAGGTGTTTATTGACTTTCTCCTATGCATTTGTAATACAACTATGTAACTAATGTATTTGCTGTGTGGTGGAAATGTGATGCTGAAAGTCCAGTGGACAGTTGAATATTTCCCCACATCTGATTTCATGTGGAGTGGGTTTTCTCAGCCCTCAGTCTCTTCAACCATGGCTTCTCTTGCTCTTCTCCTAAGCAGGTTATTCACTAAACCCAGGTTGCTCCTCTTTTGCCCTGGCAGAATCTGGGAGGATTTAAGCTTTTGAATTTAAAACAAAAGCTGTGAATGATAACTAGAAGTTCTTGATCGAATGTCTTGTTTTCCCTTGCAGACACTGTACGAGAAACAACAGCAGCACAGCAAGCACTGTTGGTGGCTAAAAACATTGACTTATTTCCAACAAATCAAGAACGTTTTACTGAAGGAAACATAGATGTGTGGTGGATTGTTCATGATGGTGGTATGCTGATGTTACTGCCTTTTCTCCTTCGACAGCACAAGGCAAGGACAACAGAAAATGGTTGGGATTTAATTTTCTAGCAATGAATAGTTCTAAGGGTTTCTAATGAGATACTCTCACCTTGACAGCGTTGTGCATGGTCATAGCAATCACTGTGTTACAAATTGTTATAATGTATCTTTTTGATAGGTTTGGAGAAAATGTAAAATGCGTATCTTCACTGTTGCTCAAATGGATGATAATAGCATTCAAATGAAGAAGGATCTTCAGATGTTCTTATATCATCTTAGACTGAATGCTGAAGTGGAAGTTGTTGAAATGGTATGTTACTGTGTTTTGGTTTTTTTTTTTAGGTGCAATTGAGACTAAACTTGGGAAAATGGATTTAGCATTTTTGAAACTAAGAGATGTTAGCCCAAATATAAAAAGGGAAAGATTGCAGTCCCACCAAGAACAAGAAGTTTTTAAAGCAATGTTATCTTACCATGTCACAATGCTAGCATATGTGGTAGTGAGTTTAATAGTTTTGTCAGGTAGAGTTGACCCATTTTGATGTGTTAATGCCTATTTTATTTATGAGGACTAGCCCATAGAGATATTTCATTCAGGAAGGAAACAGCTTGGATTTTTAGCAGACAGTGAAATGGAAGGCTGATTGTGCTTAATTTAATAATCCATGACATCGAGTATGAGAAAGGATGAACCGTGTCCTGGGCTGCATCAAAAGAGGTGCAACCTGCAGGTTGAGGGAGGTGATCCCGCCCCTCTACTCCACTCTTGTGAGACCCCACCTGGAGTACTGCATCCAGCTCTGGGGGCCCCAGTACAGGAGAGACATGGACCTGTTGGACCAGGTCCAGAAGAGGGCCACGAAGCGGATGGGAGGGCTGGAGCACCTCTCCTATGAGGACAGGCTGAGAGAGTTGGGGGTGTTCAGCCTGGAGAAAAGAACGCTCCAGGGAGATCTAATTGTGGCTTACCAGTACCTGAAGGGGGCCTACAGGAAAGATGGTGAGGGACTGTTTATGAGGGAGTGTAGTGACAGGACAAGGGGTAATGGGTTTAAGCTGAAGGAGGGTCGATTTAGATTAGATGTTAGGAAGAAATTCTTCCCTGTGAGGGTGGTGAGGCACTGGAACAGGTTGCCCAGAGAGACTGTAGAGGCCCCCTCCCTGGAAGTGTTTAAGGCCAGGCTGGATGAGGCTTTGGGCAATGTGGTCTAGTGGAGGGTGTCCCTGCCCATGGTAGGGGGGCTGGAACTAGAAGATCTTTGAGGTCCCTTCCAACCCAAACCATTCTATGATTCTATGTTCATCTCTCCAACTGCTGCATGAATCTCTCTGGAATAAGGAATCCCTAAGCCCCCAAGAGAGCATGTCACTTGTTTTTGGTATTGCCAACACCTTTGGCACTGAGCAGCAAGACAATATAGCAACAGATTCACAAGTCTATTAGTGACAGAATGAATTTTGTAACTTTTTTTCCTTTTTTAAATACTGGTTGTAAACTCCTAAAGAGAAAGGACTAAAGCTGTAGTCTTTCTAGACCCGCTCTTTTTGGCAATTAAGGAAAAACTTCATTTCCTGCACTCAGAGGTGACTAGCATAATGTCCAAAGTAAGACAAATACCAAAACAAATAAACAACCTTTCAAACTCATTCTGAAGTGGGATGAAGAAGATGGGTCAACTGGTTCAAAACTTCTACCAACCTATCAAAAATATTCATCATGCTAATCAGCCATAAAGCAAATTTTAAGAATTGTTTAAATTACTTATGAAAAAAGTGACTTATGAAAAATTTGGTTAGGATTTTGAACTAGGAAGTAAGATAAATCCATTTATTTTTGTTTTGAGTACTGAATATTTTGTTTTGTTTAGAGTACTGAATATAAAAGACTAAAATGCCATTAAAAGGCCCAGCCTTAGTTGGATTTTGAGCAGAAAATAGTATAGGAAGCACAACTTACTCTTCTTATGTAGGTCATAATTAATTCTGAGAATCTTCCAAAAGATAAGAGACACATTACAAGTCAGTGACAGCACAGATGAATGCTATAGGTTTTTACATTGTATTTTAGCTTTGAGCTGATGTGAGAATATATGCCAGACTGTCTTCATAAATGCTTCTATTTGTGAATGTTTCTCACTGGTGAAAGGACAATGTGTTATTTTGTGGCTCTAGACAGTTTTTAAGGAAACAAGTGTGCACACATGTTCAGGAGGCAGCAATGCAGACCCAGTTTAAATAAGTGCTTTTAACCCTTTCTCATTTCTGTGGCTTAGTTGGAACAGAACAATGGAAAGTCCTTCCCAAGTACCTCAAATTTAGATAAAAATCACATTGGTAGTGGTATAGTTGGATAGTTCAGTGTACAAGATTGCTGTTTGAAGATGAAGTTTTAAGAATGAGGACAGAAATAATTGACCATTATATGCTTGGCAATACTCTAATGCCATAAATAACATCCAAGACTGAATGAATGCAGGAATGAATGTGGTACGCTGTCTAAACGTTGTTGAGTAGTACTTTTCTTCTGATGTTGTAATACCAATCTCTTTTGCAGTTTGAAAATGATATTTCTGCATTCACATATGAGAAGACACTTATGATGGAACAGCGATCTCAGATGCTAAAACAGATGCAGCTATCAAAGAACGAAAGGGAAAGAGCGGGAG